CCAAGAAACAAATTCTCCCGGTGCCGATCAGTGAAGTAAGAAACGCAAAATGAAAAGTGGAGAAGCTCCCGGTCACGACGGTATTAGCATTGAGCTCATGAAAGCAGGTGGACGCGCGCACTCTGGAAGGCACGCGCCTCTAGGTTCAGTCGCTACCTGACTGAAAAGGCCATCCCTAGCAGCTGGAAGGAATCGAGGACGTTTTGCTCCATAAAAAAAGGGATAAAGAAGACCCGAAGAATTATCGCCCGATTTGCTTGCTCTCTCATGCATACAAGATGTCTATGAGAATCATTACTAACCGCGTCACAGGGCCACTCGATGAGCAGCTGCTGAGAGAACAATTCAGATTTCGAAGTAAATATAGCACTACGGACAACCTCTTCACTCTAAACTAACTGCTAAAGCCCGCTGGGAGTATAAATGACCCTTATGTCTCTTTTTCGTCGATTATGAGAAGGCATCTGACCGCGTGGTACTCAACCCTATCCTGAAAGCTCTTGTGGAAGACGGAATCGATGAGAACTATGTTGAAATCATCAAAGAATAGAATATCAGCGAATACAGGATGTTCGACCGAAATAACGCTTTTCTCAAACCCAATTCGTATACCGATCGAGAAGGGCGTAAGGCAGGGCAATCCTTTGTCATTCAAGTTCTTTAATGCCTGTCTCGAGATGGTATTCCGAAAATTGAACTGGAAGGGCGATCTGAACAGCAACGGTGAACAGCTGAATCATCTACGCCTTGCTCATGACATAGTACTCATCGCAAAATGTGCTGGAGAAATGAAAGAGATGCTGCTAGAGCTCAGCAAACGAAGTAATGAAGTGGATCTTAAAATCAACGCAACGAAAACGAAGGTGATGCAAAGTGTCGGCATGCCCAAGGCCAATTTACACGTAGACGGTGCGGATTTGGAAGAAGTCAACAACTCTGTCTAGTTGGGCCAAGAATTGGATATGTGCCAAGATCTTCTACCCGAGATTAAACGTCGAAGGGCTGCCGGGTGGAGCAAATTCCATAGCATCATCGATGTTCTCAAAGTATCAGACCAGACAGACTGCGTATAATTGAGGACAGTGACGTACGGATGCGAAAAGTGGGCACCGACAAAGGCAAAAGAAAATGTACTGGCTGTGACGGAGAGAGCAATGAAACGAAGGATGCTTAAAACATCTCTTTGTGACCGTATCGACAAGACTCTCCGCAAAATGAGTGGCGTGCAAGACATCGTGCGAGCCACGAGAGAGAGCAAGATCCGTTGGACAGGCCACGTAGTGGATCTCGCGTAATGCCGAATGGTA